GGGTCAAGGGGTGCATGGATTAAGGTCTGAAGGGTAAGAGAGGGGACAAGCCCACTGTCCACACGGAGGGACCATTAGGGCAAAGACAGGCTCACAGTGATGGTGGGAGCTGATGCCACGGCCCTAAGCAGGGACCTTTAACTTTGGTAAGGAGTTTTTGTTTTATTTTGATGGTAAGTCATTGGAGGTTTTAAGGAGGGCATCCGAGAAAATGGACAGCATAGGGAATGTAGCCGATGGTCCTGGAATAGTGTCGTATGGTGACCGATGGTCGCTACACTGGTGGTGCTCATAGTGAGGTGTAGACTTGTCCATTCACTATGCTGTGTAATGGAAACTAATGTAGCATTGTGTGTCAACTATACTTGAATTACAAAAAATAAAGAGAGCATCCAGTTGGACTTTTGGAAAGATCCATGTGGCAGTTCTGAAGAGAATAAACCCTAGGAGGCCTGGGCGGCCACAGAGAATCCACGAAGGAGGCCTGGCAGCCATGTGGGCATGCATGGCTTGACAGTGGCTGGGACATGGGCAGTGGCTGTGGGGATGTAGAAAAAGAACAAAGCCAAGGTACTGGATTCAGAGGTGCTGATTCATGCTAACCCTGGCTGTAGGGCCTGATTTATAAACCAGCTGATTCATGTTTAATGAGTTGGTGCAACGTCAGGCCAAGTGGATATTGCGTCGCCCAGCTTAGGACATTCTCTGGCAGCAGGCCACCCAGATGGACAGCCATGGTGCCCCCGGAGAGGGGAGCCAGGGGAGCCAGCCGGTGCTTGCCGTGCTCACGAGCATCAGATGCCGACAGCCTTCTCGACTGGTCTCAGCCAGACAGGGCTGACAGCGCTGTTGTGGGCACCGTCAGCATTCACTTCTCCGGCTGACCTTTCTCTCTCCGAATCCTGTGCGTTGGGTTTTCATATGGTCATGCCATCAGTCTGGCCTTGCTGGGCTCTGGCGCTTGGCGCATATCCTTCTCCATCCGTTCTGGGCTGGCGCTTCTGAACTCCTGGTTCTCAGACCACTCCCCGCTGCAGCTCCTCGGGACTGTTTTAAGTATAGACCCTCTCAGCGCTGTTTTATTGGGTACATACCATGTTAAGTGCTCTCTCTAGGTTATTTTCCTACTCTCTACCACCACCCTCAGAAGGAGGGGGGAGTATCTCCATTTTATAGATGAGGTGACTGAGGTTCAGAGCATTGAAGTCACTTGCCCACGGTCACAGAGTGAGCCACTGGTGGTGCTCGGCTTTGGGTCTGGGTCTGACTGACCTAGGTCTGCCCCGCCCCCTGCCCTGGTGCCCCTGTGAGGAGTCCACGAGAAGCCGGTGTGTCTAGTCCCTGACCGTGGGCCTGGCCCCAGCAGCACTCCATGATGGGAGTCTTGCCCTTTCTAGCAGAGTAACACGTGACTCTTGCAAGGCCGTCTGCTCCACCCCCAGTTCACTCACTTCTCCCCTTCTCCAACCTGCTCCACCTGCCAGGCTCTTTGGAGCTCACCTTTATAGGCTTCTTGTTCTAAGGTATCAGGATGTCAGGGCCTCCTGTCCGTCCTCTGCACGGGCCTACTTGTTCCCGTCTCTGGACATTTGCCCACACGGTGACTCAGTGACTCCACCCCCCCCACCCACTCCCCACCCTATAAGCCCTTCTTTGGGTACTCTAGGTCGTACTCCTGATCACCAACTCCCCAGAACCTTCTAGAGGCTAAAACGTACATCAGCAAATCTAAATCACATCCTGCCTGGGTGTTTAACCATTTTCTGGGTGAGCATTATCCTCCCATGTTGCAGTGAGCTCCAAGGAACCAGCATGTGTTTCCCCTGGGGCCCCTGCAGCGCCCATCTGGCCAGGCTGCCCAGCGGCTCCCTCAGTCTCTGCTGACCTGGGCCCAGGCAGAACTGTGCCCATGTGACTGGCTCTGGCAGAACCCAAGGCCAGGTTCTTGGCTTGCTTTCGGTGGCCTAGAGAGAAAACCATACTGTTATCCCTGGACTTGTGAAATCAAGAAGGATCTCATCATAGGTTTAAAATAATAATAATAATAATAATGTTATTTTTCTTTTAAATTCATAAAAATTTTTTGGGGTGCCTGGGTGGCGCAGTCAATTAGGCATGCAACTCTTGATTTTGGCTCAGGTCATGATCTCGGGGTCATGAGATTGAGCCCCATGTCAGGCTCTGAGCTCAGCAGTGAGTCTGCTAGAGATTCTCCCTCTCTCTCTGCCCCTCCCCCGTGCTCACTCTAGCATGCACTTGCTCTCTCTCAGTGAATAAATAAATCTTTTTTTTTTTTTTAAGATTTTATTTATTTATTTGAGACAGAGAGAATGAGAGACAGAGAGCATGAGAGGGAGGAGGGTCAGAGGGAGAAGCAGACTCCCCGCCGAGCAGGGAGCCTGATGCGGGACTCGATCCCAGGACTCCAGGATCATGACCTGAGCCGAAGGCAGTTGCTTAACCAACTGAGCCACCCAGGCGCCCAATAAATAAATCTTTTAAGAAAATAAATTCATAAACATTTTAAGTTTAATCAGACTTTATCTCCTCATCCTGTCACACCAAGCCCTGTGCATTGGAAGATTTTATTTTTTAACCTCTCATTTTTTTTAATCAAGAAATCTCCTAGTGGAAAAATTGAGAACGACAGTTAAACAGAAGAAAAAATAACCTGCACTCATGCCATCTAGAAACGACTACAATTAATACTTTGTTGAATATTCTGTATCTGTGCATATGTGTTAAGTAGGGTCAGTCTGTACAAGCTGTTGTGTATGGAGCGTTTCATTCAGGTATTTCTTTTATGTCATCCTTTTTAACGCTCTAGAAAGGATGAGCCATCGTTTCTGTCACCAGACCCTAGCTGTGGAGTTCCTTGGTGGCTCAGGCCGCCTCTTTGGCTTCCAGCCTGGACCTGAGTGCTTTCTCCTTCCAGTTGGTTCTGTTCAAGTTTGCTTGAGGCAGCAAAGTGCGGTGGGAAGCAGAACACCGACAGATTAGTCTGTGGATCCTTTTTTATTTTTTTAAAGCGAAATTAAGTGGGCATTCATTTTAAGGGTTCTTCTTATAGACCTTCTCTAGTATAATGGCTGATGTCCTCAGGTGCAGGCCTTGAAGAGACGCAGACCCAGGCAGACAGGTGTCCCTCAGACCCTACGAGACAGAGAGCTCCCCTGGAGCAGCTCCTGGTGCTTCGTGTCCTGGCCCAGAGTCGGCATCTGGGGTCACGGAAGTGACAGAGAGCCTTTATTTAACTATGGCTTTAAGTCAAACCATAAAGTCCGAGGTAATGACATGAGTGGAAAGCATTTCTGGGGGTGAGGCCGTGTGACCAAGGCCTTCTCTTCCTCCTCATCTTACTTCTTAATAGCAGCATCAGGAACAAGAAACCCTTTCATTTGTGCCTCGAGCTCTGGCTTACAAAGTATGACCTGTTCAGGGGCCTGCAGTTCTTTTGTGGCCTAGTGGGGCACTCAGGGTCCTTGGCTTGCTGGCCAGTGCCCTTCACTTGGGGCTGGGCTGGTGCCGCCTGGAATGCTGGGAGAGAAACTGAAGGAGACCAGGGGAGTGGGGGGTAAGGGCTTGGAGCATGTGCGTAGCACAAGGTGGAGCTGGTGTCCGTCTGTCTGTTTGCTCACTGGAGGCCTCCCGTGGTGAATGGGGTTGGGAAGGGACCTGCCAGGTCTAGTCTGGATCTTTCTCATTTAATATAATGGATTTAGAGGGAGGCTGTGGGCTCAAGGGTGGGGGTTCCTGCCCATTTCCCTGTTCCTCTGGTTTTAGCTCCAAACCTATCTATTTATCTATCTATTTATCTATTTATTTATTTATTTATTTGGATCCACTCTGACTGGGGTCCGGAATAGGTGCTTTTGCACCCCCTTTAAAAAAAACCCAATTTGTGATTGTGTGTATTTAGAATTATAGAAGTAATTCCAAAGCATATAAAGTAAAAAATGAAGTTCCCTTTCTTCGCCCACCCCATGGAACGCCCTCTTTTTCCTCTATCCATTTCTCAGTTATGAAGCTGTCTGAACAGTTTGGTCAGTATCCTTTCAGATCTTTTACTACAGATGTATAAACACAAAGAGGTATTGCTGAGGTTTTGTTTTGTTTTTTTAAATATAAAAATGGAGACATGCCATTCTTTCTCCTTTCTTCTCCTTGCATTTTGCTTATGCCAACAGAATGGCTGGGCACTAGGTCCCTGATTCTCTGAAATCTCATTTCCTGCTCCAAGGGGAAAAGGGTAAGAGTAGCCTGTCCCAGAGATAATTTCTCTAAGTCCCATGCTTTGTGGGTGAGTCCTAGTGTGGTGAAATGACTGCCTTGTGTGTGGCAGACCCAGGGCCCGCGTCCAGGTGTCCTGACTTACATCATCAGGGCTCTGCGTGTTTTTAATGGTGCCCTCCTGTCTTATCCCTGTAGATCCATTCTGTCAACATCCCTGTGAAGATAGCGGTTCAGGCTTGGGGCATGAAGAGCCTTGCTCAGAGTCAGTGCTGGAAGGGCCCGGAGCCCAGGGCTCTTTTGGTTGAGTTCAGTTTATCCAGAGTTTATTGAGCGGCTACTGTGTGCCTGGTGCTGGGGTTGGAGAGACAGCCCAGCTGAGGGCCTGCCCCGAGGGGGCCACTGACTGTCCTTTGTGCTCCTTTGTGCAGAGTGGGGCTCCCTGGGGAGACTCTCATTGTCCCGAGGAGGGTCCCCATTCCAGAACTGGGCGAGAGACTGGAGGAGTCCCTGAAGAGTTCTATGGTCGCAAGAGTGGGAGGGGGTCTGTGACTTGGGCTGCTGCCAGTAACCCCTGACTTCTGCTCTCTCCCCACCCCCACTTCCTCTGTCCCTCCCTCCCTCCCTCCTTCCTCTCTCCGTGGCTCTTTGTCCATTTGTGTCCATCTGTCTCTCTCCGCATGTGGTTCCTGTCCCCTTTGCTCTGTCCTGTCACACCATCGTTGCCCCCCCCCTCCCCCCGTCATGTGCTCTCCTTCATGCTAATGCAGGCGTGCTGGTCACCATGACAACAGAGACAGGCCCCGATTCTGAGGTGAAGAAGGCTCAGGAGGAGGCCCCACAGCAGCCCGAGGCAGCTGCCGCTGCGACCACCCCTGTGACCCCCGCAGGCCACGGCGGCCACCTGGAGGCCAACTCCAATGAGAAGCACCCGCCCCAGCAGGACACTCGGCCTGCTGGACAGGTGTGTGCCTGAGAGCATGGGCATCCCTCTCCCTGCCCAGCCATCATCCAGGGCCAGTTCTTAGTGGGGAGGGAAGCCAGAAACAGATTTATTACTGACTCATTACGTGCCGAGCTCTGTGCTGGGGGCATTGTGGTCACTTTCATATTTAATTCTCCCAAACCTACGGAGAGTGATATATATATATTTATATTTTAATTAAGTTAGCGCAATGCCCAGCGTGGGGCTTGAACTCACGACCCTGAGATCAAGAGTCACGTGCTCTGCTGACTGAGCTAGCCAGCCGCCTCTATGAGAGTGATATTAATTTCCCCATTTTACACTTGGGGAAATAGCAGCTCAGCAGATGAAGTGAGTTACCCAAAGTCACATTGCTATCCAGTGACAGATGGAAATAAAATCTAGATCTGATTCCCAAAACCTGGTTCTTTCAACCTTATTTTCCTACCCCCTGAACCTGCCCATTCTAGCCTGGCAAACCCAGTATGACCCCAGAGCAAAATGCATCACCCTAAATTAGGGACAAGGGACTTGCTGAATCATCTAGCTGTCCAGTTCACACCTCCCTTCCTTCAGGACAGGCCGAGAGGGCGGGGACTTGGCCAAGGTCATTGAGGGCACTGGTGGCAGTTAGGACTAGCTGGCAGGGCTCTGACCTCCCTTCCCTCCATTAGATCAGTCCACCAGCTCTCCGCCTCATGCTAGACCAGTGACAGACCGATAAGGGGGAGGCCAGATGGATGCTCTGAGAACTCACACGCCACTTTGGGGAGCTAGGGCAGCTCTGGATGCTTCCTGCCTGCCGAGGCTGTCCCCCTGAAGAAGTGGCCCCTTCCATGAGCCCACCCTGTTGCACACAGAAGCTCTGGTTCTCCTCCTGTATATACCAACCGTAGACGCCGGTCACCCTGGGGGTCGTGGAGGGCCGTGGCTCTCATTTTGGAGACCATCTTAGCCCCAGCTGCTGCATCCTTACTGGGTCTTCATTTGCTTGAAAGGCTGTGGTCTCAAGTTCACTGACCAGACTTTTCCCCCTGTTGGACCTACAGAGCCTAGACATGGAGGAGAAGGGGTATGGGGAGGCTGATGGCCTGTCAGAGAGGACCACGCCCAGCAGAGCCCAGAAATCACCCCAGAAGATTGCCAAGAAGTACAAGAGTGCCATCTGCCGAGTCACTCTGCTCGATGCCTCTGAGTACGAGTGTGAGGTGGAGGTAGGGAGCACCCCCCACCACAGACCCGGTCCCCAGCCGACTGGCCCCAGAGCCAGGGCAGGCTTCTGTGTGCGCTCAGCCTGGGCCAAGCCAGAGAGCGTCCATTCTTCATGGAGGCCTGGACCGACTGCGGCATCCTGGAGAGATGACCTGGCGGCCCTCCTTTGTACAGATGGTGGCACTGAGGCCTGGAGAGGGCTGTTATGATTGCAAATGGAATTAGACGAGGCGCAGGGTTGGCGCCAGGAAAAGGTTTCTCAGGGGGGGCTGTACCTTGGCAAGGAGTCACCGTCCCAGGGCTGATCTCTAGCCTGGTAGGCCTTACGGACTGGGCTCTTCAGTCTCACCTAGCAGACGCTGGTGTTTCAACTAGAATTGTTTTTATGTTTTTATTGGGCGGAGAGAGGGGTCTTCCCTTGTGAAGGGAATGCCCCTGTCCAGGTCAGCAGGACAAACTGGTCACTTAAGGGTTTCATGGTATGGGTGTCCCCCCCCCAGGCATAGAGAGGAAGGACTCCGTCACCTGGGCCACATAGAGATCCTGTGGCATGATCCTGTTCCACCATGGATAGCAGGGGCAGACACCTCCTGTCTGGGGTCAGCCCCCCCGGCCCCACATTTGCTGTCTCCCTTTCCTATATAGGCTAGGACTCCCACCCTAATTCTGAGCTCTCACTCATCCCCTTGGAGGGTCCATCCCGGTCTGGGCACCATTCCTGGCCCTCTCCATGTGTATGGAAGGGTCCAGAGGGTGGCCTTCCCTAAGAGTTATAGGAACCACCTCTCTCTCTCCCTGGTGCCCCTGCCCCACCCCAACCCCTGCCACCCCGGTCTTAAGGGATATGACTTATTTCTGGGCCCTGGCAGGTTGGGCCCCTCTTCTCTGCAGAGTTGGGTTGGTTTTGTTTTTGTTTTTTTGATTTTATTTTATTTTATTTTAT